ATAGAATATTATCTTTTTCATATTTGATTCCATTCAAATTTGGTTAATATATATAATAAGATAACCTTCAAGTCAACAAAACCCTTGTTATTGAAAAAAATAAAAAGTCAACAAAACCCTAACTTATCCAACAAACAAAGAGGTCGAGCCTGAAGAGGGAACCTAGGATTAGCCTAAATAGGATTTCGTGTACTATATATTAGTTTATAAAAGCAAAAGCTAAGATTTCATAACGCGTTACACGAAGTTGGAGAAACCTATTAAACCGTTAAGTTTAATTTGTATAATCAAATACACAGTTTATTATCTCAAGCAAAACTAATTTTGTCTCTCTGATGTTGTTACACTGCTCGTGTCCACCAAGAAAGAGCTTATCTTACAATGGCAGGTCATAATGACTATAGGGACATTAACTTCGTTGACATCGTTGCGTCTGTTTTCTACTTTTGGGCCAATACTTTTCTTCCATCATGGGCTGGTGATTTGTTTCTCCAAGTTTTTCTCTACGGTGATCTCTATATTGCGATTTTGTTTGTCTCGTTTCTACCAAAAGTGTTCCGAAAAGTACATGGGATGTTAACTGGTCTTGAGAAGAGGAGGATGGTTGTCCGATTTGTCTTGAAGACCTCAATGGAATTTTTTTTGCTAAAACCTGAGTGAAAATTATGTATGAAGAGTTTGCAATCATAATATTCACCGTAAATGTATTGATATGTGGCTATTGAAGAGTTTGGTTTGTACGGTTGTACCATGTGTCGTGGTTTGGTGACTAACTATGTATGAGTTAATTAATCCTGTCTTTTATTCTTGATTTTTCATACATCTCTACTTCAAATCCTTTTCATTAAAGAAAGTTTGTTGGAGGGGGAAAAAAAAAAAACTGAACTGTGTAACCAAGTTGAACTGGAAATTAATGTGTGGGTCTAGCAATGAAATCCACCGGCCGTAAAAAGTGGACTATTGGGCCGTAAAAAGGCCCATAAATTAAAAAATTATTAAGAAAAAAGAAAAGTCTAATACCGGCCGGCACACGCACACGGCGTAGATACGTGTCCGACGCACGAAAAATATCCAGATCATAATAAAATTCTTCCAAAGTTCACACGAAGAAAAGGATCGATCGAAAAGGAGAGATCT